TCACGTTCAGATACAGCCAAATTGAAGCAATGGAAGTAAAATAAATTACTTACCTTTCTAACTACTGCAACCTGGACACCACTAGTAAATTTGAATTGGTCAAGGATGCTCTGAACAGTAGGACGAATGAAAACTTCATCAGAATTGGACGCAACTGAATAGAAGACCTCCCACTCTTTAGATTTGATATCATCAGTTAAGCCGACAACAACAAACTTGTTGCTTTCAATAATCTTTTCATACTCTTCTGCGGATTCGACCACAAGGACAGCAGGGCCGGTTTTGCGTTTGAGCCACTTGATAATGCCTTCAGAATTTCGCTCGCCATCGAATTCAATTGGAACACCATTTCTGAATAGTTTTATCGTGGGGTAACCACGAACCTGAAATCTGGATGCAAGAGAGAGCTCCACTGTTGCATCCACCTTGGCCAGCTTAATCTCAGATTTCTCCTCAAACAACGCCTTGGCAGCTTTATTGTACTCGGGTTCAAGAAGTTTGCAATGACCGCACCAAGGAGCAACTAGAATTTAAGATTATTAAAAGTTGATAAAAACTTACAGAACTTAACTAGAACAAATTCGTTTGCATCAATAGTTGTATCAAAATTATCCTTTGTGAGAACAATGACATGCGAACCATCTTCTGCAAGGACGAGACCAATAAGGGCAAAAAGGAAGAGAGACAAGACCGTTTTCACCATCACCACAACGTCCCACACCTACGTCACCAAATAATGACCCCTTACTTGATGCTATGCTAATTAGCTAAATTAAACAAATTAAAATAGCAAAATATAACATCTGTTGAAAATGCCTATTTAATATAAGTTATATAATAAAACTAATAAAGGCTCCACGGATAATGTGATTTATAAAAAAATATGTTTTGATTTAAACTATTTATTTATTTCAAATGGCAGGCTTTATGATATTTATCATTAGCCCTTAAACTTTGACTTCAGCTTGCCCCATGGGTAATGATATTTATCATTAGCCCTTAAACTTTGACTTCAGCTTCTCCTTAAATAATAAAAAGAAGTCAAATCACATGCCGAGTGATTGACTTTGTTGCCGTACGAAGATACGTTGCCCAGGGTGCACCACATGAAGGTAAGTCAATCGCACACTTCATAATATAATAAAACGGAAAATTATGTCCTTCTTTTTCTTTATTTCTTTTTTAATACCGAAAAACCACTCTGTTTCATTGTACTACCACTTTTGCATATCTTTTGAAATGTTAATCTCTAAATGTTATAAATCGTTTTATTCCAGTTTACAATTCTTATTTGTGTGAAAATGCATTTAAAATCAAATGTATACGCATTTTTTTCTTTTTGCATTCACTGCCAACATCCTTTTTTAAACCGATATAGAAAGATATCTAAACAAACCGCTAATTTTCGAAGAATAAATATGTGTTAGCTTGCGACATATTGCTTAGATATAGAAAGTTTTTTTATTTAAGCAATGATTGTCTTTGCTGTTGCTCGCTTTGTGCCGCTATGGTGTATCTGTTTTGTGTATAATGTCAGTATACTAATGGTATAGTCTCAGAGAGTCAGGGGTGCGATTAAATGCAATTAATCCATGCATCTTTATTAACCAATCAAATAAATTCAGCTTTGCATAATGTTATTATGTAGTGGTAAACAAAATGCCTAAACCTTAACAGATACAATCTCAAATAAATTTTAAGCCCTTTCTTGGTTAACTAGGAGACATTCTATGGTTATTTGTTCTAATCAGAATACTACGAAACATTACAACCATGGTGTTTGCTTTTCTTCTCTTTATATTGAACCTTTTGTCATAATTTTCATTTTATATTTAACTACTAAGTACTTACGCTCCCATATTAATAAGGCCGATATATTCAATATAATTTAGTGAATTGGAAAATAATTTCATGTTTATCACATTCTTAAATTCTTTTACATTAACACCCCGAAGATATTTTAGATGTCGAATATTTTTTATTATCATTACTTTAAAGGATTATGTTGGCATGCACTAAAATTTCAACACGACTCACTACAGCCCCTACTGGAGTTGAGAGATTTGAGTTATTGTCAAGTACGGATCTAAATTCTTAGATTAATTCTGAAGTGATTTAAGCGAATTGCATAAAGATACGTTATTTCTTGATTTATAGAAAGTTTTATGAATAAAATTGCTTACCTAATTTCAGCGTATCATTATCGTAGCGTGGCTCAAATTAAATGATAAAAAGGCGAGAGCAACCAAAATACCACCACGTTTCGGTTAAAATTACTGCCATTCTAAAAACTTCACAGTATCTCTCGTCTTCTTTTTAAAAGGGAATTTGATTCTACATTTCTCTACATGTTTCTGTGCTGGCCTCATTTTTTCTGTCCAGTTATTTTGCTGTCCGTAATTGCTTGTACTGCTCAACCAGCTGCTTTGTTACTTAATTTAGCAAAGCAATAGAGTGCATCAAATTTTTATTTCTTTCTGGATATTTGCAATAGCCACCTAGTAATGTGACCATTCAACAATCCCTTGTGTGAACTTGAAAAAAATATACACAAGTCATTTACCCTTAATGCATTTGAAGTACTTGAATTTTCACATAGCACCTGTATTTGGCCTCTCACACTTAACACCCTATGATATTAAAATTTTTTCCCATTGCTTGCATTGTATTTCTGAATTTTGAATTTGGCTCTTAGAGCAATAGTAATACAATTGGTAAAAGGTTATCAGATAAGTATCAAATGCAAAATAAAAATATGATTCATCCACGTATGGAAATGCCATTCTTTTGTGAGAGCGCAACTTCACAAAGAACGACAAAAATATGCTCATTGTCATACTATTAAAAAAGTATGCAAGAATCCAAACCACTAATAATAAAATTTATAAAAAACACCAATGAATTATATAGCTCCTTCAAATTAATTTAGGAATTACGAATATCTTAAATACCCTTCATATCTTTACCTGGTTTCTCATATTGCAGTTATTTATTATTTAATAAAAGGTAATAATTGATTAATAAAGATATTTAAGTTATAAATTGAGATTAATGAGAAAACTTTGATTGTAACAGACGAGATTGTTTTAAATATGTAAGTGGTTTCACACTTAAAGATGGGTAGACGTCCTGCACGTTGGTGAGTTATTCTTCTTCTGATTATTGTTTTTTTTAGCTATCGCTATTGCAAAAACAAGCCCTATCCTAAGTCGCGCTTCTGTCGTGGTGTCCCTGATCCCAAAATCAGAATTTTTGATTTGGGAAAGAAGAAGATTGGCGTCGATGAGTTCCCATTGTGCGTTCATATGCTTTCTGATGAGTACGAACAGCTTTCCAGTGAAGCTTTGGAGGCTGCTCGTATCTGCGCCAACAAGTACCTCGTGAAGTATTGTGGCAAGGATGCGTTCCACTTGCGTGTTCGTGTACATCCATTCCATGTAGTGCGTATTAACAAAATGTTATCATGCGCTGGTGCGGATCGTCTCCAAACTGGCATGCGTGGTGCCTACGGAAAGCCTCTTGGTACTGTTGCCCGTGTCAACATCGGACAAACCATAATGTCTGTTCGTGGTAAGGAGCAACACAAGGCCCAATTTATTGAGGCCTTCCGACGTGCCAAAATGAAGTTCCCCGGTCGCCAAAAGGTAATTCTATAATCACATTCCACTTTGCTTATGTGCGAAACTACTTTTGTAAAGGGAGGTGAGATCACGGAACGGTAGGAATGTTTATTTAAATGGATTCTTGTCGCTGGTGGAATTTATTGCACCATGAAAAAGCAATCCAAAATTTATCTGGAGTTATCGCTTACGATTGCTCCAATATTAAAACTACATGAAGGCTTTGCCAACTGTTATCAGTATTAAAGTGGCGGTCTAAAGGCGATGATTTCACCCACGTTTGTAATGCTTCCACCTCCATAAGCTTTCTCCATCACGTTTTAGATCGCTGTATCGCAGAACTGGGGCTTCACTAAATTCAAAGCCGATAATTTCCAGGAGATGCGAAAAATTGGCAAGTTGCGTCCTGACGGTGCTAATGTGCAGTACATGCCTGACCATGGACCGCTTGAGGTTTGGCAGAAAACACAAGCTGTACTACTAGGTCTTTAAGTTCTTTTTTGATGTTAAATAAAGATGTATCTGTGGTTGCATAATTATTTTTTGATACAGAAAATGTATGTTTTCCGCTTTTTGGTATTCTACCTGCAACTATCGGTTTCATTGTTCAGGTGTATGACCTACTTTTTGATCCAATCTTTGGTGATAATAGTAATTGTGTTGAGATGGCTGCCTTTTGTCTTAGGATTTTCATTTAGTCCTTTCAGTTTATATTGCCTGCGGTAAACTCTTGTTTTATCCATTAATTATACTATTCTCGCAGGATTTCATTTAGAATATATTGCTAATTGTTCCCCATTGCGCAAGCTAGGGGCGTTGATTTTAGTTTAAAGTGTTTCAAACTAAAATGGAAATGTTTGAACTTCATTGAATCTTAAAGTCGAATCGCTTAAAAGGTGGCTTGTTTGATGAACTGGATTTCGGTATTTTGCCATGAACTGTTTATGTTTGGGAGTATTTCAGGTCTTTTAGAACTTATTTTGCTAGCTTCTTTTGCGATGTACATTTCCACTTGACATTGGGTTATATGGCGAACCAGCTCATTGAAACATACCCGAGAGGCTGTAGTTAAATTTATGCAGAAATTCATTAACTCTAGCCTATTAGTGAATGCTTTGCATTGAAAACGGAAACGAGTTGGTGTTTGCCTCTAACCGCATAGCAATTGGCCCGAGTTGGCCTTTACTCAATTTGCTTTCGGTAAAGGAAACCAAAACTAACAATGCATTCCCTACCCTCACCTGCTTATAATCCCATTCGCCTCTCACACAAACCCTTATCTTCTTTTCCTTTTCCAAAACTATCTCCCCAATTAGTGGACTCTAGGTCGAGACTTTAAATAATCTCTACTGACGGAGTGTGGTGCGTCTTTAGACATGTAGTCGTTTTGCCCTTGTTCTTCTTTAACTTGTCAATAGCAACCTCGCTCCCACGCATTCAGCATTGGTGACTACCCCTTGCATAATTATTTTTCACATACTTCATTTTCTCCTTTCGTACTTTGACGATTATCTTAAAAGAAGTATTTCTCTTTGGCCTGCTTGATGGGGCTCCTAAATAGGTTCTCCAATTACAATTAACTTCGCCTATCTCTATTACTAAATTGCTCATGGGTGAGGGTGGCGGCTGTTCGATTGCTTAGATATCACGTGTTCATGACTTTTGGGCATCGTTTTCTTTCGGACTTGCTCAGTAGCTATCCCTATTGAGGGAGAATAAATTGGACAGCCCTCGTTATTCAAATTAATAGCCTACTTATTGTAGTTCCATTTGCTGCTTGCACTCTCACCATACATGTGTTCTATTCCATCATTTCCTTTAGTTTCATTCTCTCAGTCCATTTAATTTATGTGTCTGATTCGCATACAGTTCGTCGGGCCATATTTCCGGTTTTCTACTTCATCAATTGTCATTTTTCGAGCTACAGCAATTCAAGCTCAAAGAAAGGGGGGGGGGTAGTGGAGAGGAAATTTAGGGTACAAGCAAACGTTTTTCATGATAAATAAACTAGATTGCCTATATAGGTTTGAAATAATTGGTAAATGGTTGGCCAATAATTACAGCGATAGCTATACCCAGCAGGTGTTCTTGTATTAACGGGTATGGGCATAGAAAAGCACTTGTCGATGAGCAAGTGTATGTGAGTGAATTTCTCTCGAGTGGAACGAAAATAGTAGTTTGGTGTTCTAGCAACTAGCTATATAACACTTAGTCCACATAATTTGCCCAATTTAAAGTTACGACTCATTACAATTGCCCAGAAGTGTGCATAGTCGCGAGTTGATGTTGTCGGTACTACTTTCTTACTCAGACTTTCAAGCATAGAATAATTCAGATGCAGAGTGAAGTGATAAAAGTTCTCTGTTATTCCTTGGTTAACCCAAGGCCGAAACACAGAAATACTGGCAATTCGAACGGACTAAGCAATGGTGAATCTCCATGCTGGTATCGGGTGTAGAATCTTGCAACTGCTCCAGATTCTGCTCATCTGCGTGTCAATCCCTTTCCCACATATATAAGCAAATTGATTTTCATAATTAAACCATCCTCTTTAAATTACCGAATCTACGACTTAATCTTCGATATCTTCGTACCATAGTATTGAATGGATTCAGGAAGTTATTCTAGTGACGATTTAACCAATGGCCCTTATGACCCTTACCTTCCTAATAGGTAGGAGAAATGGAGTAATCTCTGTAAATACTAGGGAAAAAATAGCAGAATAATGTTTAGTCTCTTTTTCCGAATGCATTAAAGTTGCTCGTGCACACTACATGGGGTTTGGATTTGTAACATTTTCCTCCGTCGTATACATAATGACAACGAGAACGGATGACTGGCAACTGCCTGAATCAAGGAAGAGAGTGGTTTGAAATAAGGTGATTCTCATCGGTTAGCAAAATAGAGACATTATGGTCACTGCTTAATGATTTTTCAACAGTGTGAAAAGAATTCAGCATGAAGTGATCTGCACCAGAAAAAAGCGTCGAGCGCTCTGTACTCCCAATTCAGGCTATATCGGGACCATTAATAGAATGTATCAGCCTCTACGAGGACACCTTCAATCGACAAAGACCTCCATTAATACAATCTCGATCGTCACAGGCGTCAAATTCTCACACAAAAGGCCACTGAAAATTCCCTATCAAACTCGAAGAAACTCCTAAGCGAAGCGAGCCACCCTGCTGAAGCACAAAACAAAGTGGATCTTTTGGCAGGATCCGAAACACGAAACTCAAGCCATCCAGACTCAGGTCGAGTTTAGTTGCCTAGGTAGGATTGCTCACAACTGCAGTAGTTAAGCCCAGGATAACAAAAGAGGGTGGCCAATAAGTTGACCCGGTCGGAATTCCTCCACCCCTTAGTAAGAACCCAAAAATGGTCCCCATAAAATATTGGCAACTAAACCAGTTATAATGTACGTGGATTCTAACTACTCCACCTTTAAATTTCACATGTTAGGCTATTATGGACGTAATTGGGACTGTAGAGAATGGCTAACAGAGACCACCCACTTAGATGACAGAATAAAGCCAGTTTCAACAATAGCGTCGACGCTTTTCAAAAAATTTCTTTTAGATCTATTTATAATCCAATTTTTTCAAACTGAAATTAACCAAATACAATAAGGCAGATCAGCATCAGGCTAGTTTATTCAAGAGCAAGGAAAACAACCACCCACTAACACCAATTTTTTATAAAAATACAAAACTGAATACCATACCTGATACTACTCGAAGAACCCACAAAGGGTGAAAAATGATAAAACAGACAATGATTCTAAAGGCAATTACTTTTAAAAAACCATTTATTTGAAACATGAAGTAAAAAGCTACAGACCACATAAATCAATCTCAGCCCATGAAATTGAACACTGCTAGGTGAAGCACGACGTGAGCAAAAATGAAATTTCCAAAGGCCCATTCGGGCATATAGTCGGGAAAAACGTCCTTATTTTGGGGATTGCTATGCATGCGAAGACACACAGCCAAGATGAATGAAGTAACAGAAGAAATAAAACCGGCAAGAAATGCGTTGAAAGGGAATGTGCCAACTAAGCAGCAGTAGATGAACTGAATAACACCTGTGAAAAATACATATACAAGATAAACATCAATCAACTTCAACTTCAAAGGTGTCGTTTGACGATACTCTTGATAAATATCAGAGAAGACAGAAGATAAAGGAAGAACAGATCTAGCCTTCTGCTGTATTGTCTTTTCGTGTTGAACCTTGCCCTGCTTCGGTGGCATAGTGAAATACTGACAAATTGTTGGCGTTCAGTAATTGGTTAAGAGAGGGCTATCAAATTTTTCGCACACTTAATAATTTTTAATAACAAAATTTAACTTTATAACTAAATTAACACGGACTAAATGTGAAATCGAAATATATAACTAGCTATTTAAGCTTTAATACACTGTTGCTTGAATTATATTATAATTTTAGTCTCTAAATATACCCTATTATTATTAACGTTAATTAATTATTACCATTTACAGAAACAATGAACTTTTAATTGTTTGAAATTTCATTCCGATTTTAATTATAAATCCATTATGAATCAATAATACTCTATACAATATTTTTAGACGATCTCTCTTGTCCGTTTGATTGTTATTTATATGCTGTATTTTGTGCCCGTTCGCGCTATTACCGGTTAAGAGCATTTGTCGTGTGCGCTCTCATAGAGTTGACCGCTCAATTTGCCCAATAGTAAGCGATTCACGACCAACTGGACATCAATTTATTTTGCTAACCACTATTTGTGGCAGTTGGCCCAAGTTGAAGAAAATGCCCTTGCCCCACGTTGCTTTCTTGATGCTACTATGGTAGCTTACATAGTTTCGTTAGGAATTTATCACCTCACATCTATAGCTCTAATGAAATACCATAACGTGTCTTTAAGCACTACTATTGACTGTTGGCATCTACCCAAGAACTTTTTTTACCGCGCATGTTCTTCAAAAAGATATCTATCATAAAATCACTTTGCCAATTTGTCAATGGGTAGGCGATATCACGTAATCAACCGTGCAGTAACGTAGTCCATACATTACCTCGTTTTGAGAGGTGCCCCTTTAAGGTTATTTCACAAAACCTACGAAAGAAGCAATACTTCAGCGCATTCTTCGTTGAAGCCAGCCAATGGTCAAGATTCAATGCGCACCGAAGTTGCCCACTCGGAATGAACCTATTCTCAGCTAAATGCTAATGAAACCACTTGTCCGGTAATTGGTAATCGAATCCCTTTTCGAATGTCTACCCGATCACCAACTTCGACATTACCCTAGAAAACACAGACAGCTAAATTCAACAGGCTTCCATGACCTTACCGTTCATATTATTCAATTGTTCACGTCACCTTACACCAGTAATCGACAAACAATAGTAACAAAACACTTCATTATAGCCCCATTTCATCTTTTATCCTGGCTTGATCAACAAAATAAGAACAGCTCTAGCTACATGGAGGGTAGAAAATTACCGGACTCGTATGATGAACTTGTAGACGTGTAATAGCTTAGTGAAGTGACATAAACCCGAAAATCCACCAGATGTGCCAAAACATTCAACTCCTAATTCTAGGGGCGCAAAGATCGCAAATACAAATGGCGAGAACTGTGAGCAATTAGTAATTAAAAGCAAGAATCTCTCCTACGATCAGCGTACATTTACACAACTAGTGATTCTGAAATCAGGGGGCCAATATCCGTTAGGAAACAGGTTTGAACCCGATTTATCCAGGTGAATACGAATAAGAGAGGACAGCCAAAAATGACAAAAGAGTAATATTGAAATACAGCCGAAACAAATTAAGATAACAATATATCAAGAAAGTTGGCATTGCTGTTTAAACCAATTTATCTTGACAAACAAACCAAAAAGCGATTTCGTTAATTAATATAAAAAATCATTATTCAGTATTTCAATCAGGAGTCATAAACAAACTAAATTGGCATATACGACCTTAGGGCGAATAACTTATGACCATGATAAACATAAAAGTCAAAAGCATAAAACTTTCCCTGTAAACGTTATATTTTAATGAATTTACAGTAAGAAGGGCACTCGTTTAAGCACTAGCGCCTTCCATTTTGACTTCGGCGCGAACCATAGGATCCAAGTCACATAGGGTCAGTTGCTGTACGGTCTCGGAATTTGAGTAGAGATCGAGAACACGCTTGTGAATGCGCATTTGGTAACGATCCCAGGTTTTAGAACCCTCACCACAGGGGGTCTTGCGGGTAGTAATTCTGAGAGTCTACTAGAATAAGTATTAAGATTCCGAATTACCTTAGTAGGCAAACGAACTGGTCCTTTAAGCTTAAGGTTCATATCCCTTGCACGCATTTTAACCTCTTCGGCGACTTTTTCCAAGGGCTTGACGGCAACGGAAGTAAATGTTATGCGTACCCAGTAGCGCGGGGCATTTTCCAAATCTTGCTTCTTCTCATCCATAATTATACGGCAAACACACAGCAAACACGGTTTTCGCAAAAGTAGCGGCGACCAAGTTCGAGGAGTATAAACAACGGTTTATGCAATATCAAAAATATTCAAAAAATTACTAATGCAAATATGTAATCGAATTATTTTATTCCTAAAATGATTATGTATATTGAATTTATCACGTTTTAAGGCTGTTTATGGCCTTAATTTGAAATCCTTTGGCCTAAATTTGGTTTTCTTCTAAAAATTGTATCATCATTATTATTATTTCGAACTTTTTTAAAGGTTAATTTAGGGTTTTAAATGCATTTAGAATACATTTCAAAAAATTTTTGCATTGATCATCATCATTTTATATGCTATTATGAATATTTTTCTATTTGTAAAACTTGATTGGATTAAATGGACTTCTGTAGAAAATATTACAAAAATCACAAACACATGTTTTAAAAACCAATCTTGATAATTTTATCGGTTTTATCTTACTTAAAATAGGATATACGAGGATTCTTCGTCTTAAGAGGGAACTTTATGATCGGCGATAGATTTAAACCGTCAGTAGGGTCGTAAAGGGGTTACAGTGCCAATTTTACTTAGATTTCAGATCTTTTTAATGTGTAATAAAACTCCTCTTGGCATCGTTTATTGGACTAAAATTTCTGAAAGAATGATTTCGAGTTTGGGCGGAAACTTTATTTTACGGTATGGCGAAACAAAGGTAAATGTTAATCTTTTTCAAGATATCAGAAACTTTTCTAACATGTTCTTAAATAACTTATTGAATCCTGGCAGTTGCCCGTTGCTTGCCATTTGGATCTCGTTTGGTATTGCAATAAGGTAAATGACTTTGAGATAGGAAATCCGGAGTTATATTAAACCGTTTATTTATTTATTCATTTATTTTAAAAGGCAGGTGTTTTGATAGTTATCATTAGCCCTTTAGCTGACTTCAGACTTAATAGAGAGAGATTAGAAACATCAAAGTGGCAAAATGTCGAGAGGGGGGGGGGGAACAGAATAATGATTCACAGATGTGAACGAGACAGACAGGCACAAAGGCAGAGAAAAGGTAAGGTGAGTACTGTGGAAGGGTTTGAATATGACATACAGTTGGGCCATGGTAGTTTGAAGTCAAAAGTCAACTACCGGTCAATAGTTATTTTGCCGCATGGGTATACGATGCCCAGAGTGCCCCACCTATTGGTACGTCTATCGCACATCCAATGAATCCCTACGTAATTCTAAGTTTAATTCCCCAGGATAAAGCTTACAAAGGTAAAAATATTTATCGCATAATTGTTTTTCAATTTAATTTAATTGAATTTTTTTGAATGGCTCCTTGAAATTATATTAAGGGCTTTCGATAGTTATAAATTGAATTCACATCATTCGTCTAAACTATGTAAGTAATAATAAATAGTCTGTTAAATACATATATTTAATATTGTTCTATTAGTGATATAAAAATAGTAAATATTCTCTTATTTATTTATTTTAAATATTTTGTTTTAACTAGTTTAATTTACATGTATACTCCTGGCTCTTATTTAGATGCCTGCGAAATTGGGATACACCCACTGCTGAACGTACATTTCTAAATAAAAATGCATTCGACACTTGACGAGGCTGATTTTGTCTCTAGCTGTATTATTGGCGGTCTTAATAATGGAAAATATCAACGTCGAACCAAGAATAGGTTTGCTACATGAAATATTAAGTTAATATGGCATTAATAGAATTTTCGTCAACAGAAGTCTTCGCTTAGATAAAATAAGATATTTCGGCTTCGATATGGATTATACTCTTGCAAGTTAGTCATTAATACCTTTTACATGTTAGCCTACAAATCACCACAATACGAGGCACTTGCTTTTCAACTATTGCGTGACAGATTAATTGAGTTTGGATATCCCCAAGAATTATCTAAATTTGAATATGAACCTTCTTTTCCTGTTCGGTAAGATATTTTTGGTGTTCTCTTTTTACCACAAAGTATAGTGGTCTTTGGTTTGATCAACAATTTGGAACTCTTTTAAAAATCGATCAATACGGTAATATTCTCATGTGCCTATTGGGTTTTAATACATTGCCAAGGTAGAGCTAAATATATTTTTTAACTTCATATTTTTCAGTGAAAAGATCAGTGAACTATATCCCAATCAATTTATTAAATTCGAGAAAGACAGAACTCATGTTATGTCTACACTATTTGATCTTCCTGGTTTGTTTAACGTACTTTCAATTTACAAACCCCAGAAATTTATCTCCTGGCTTGTATTATTCATTACATGCAAAAAAATGACGACTACATCAAAGAACCTACGGGAGTTAAATATCAATCCCTATATATATCCTACAAATCAATTCTTCAGGATGTTGAAGAGGCCATGAATTGGATGCATAATGTGAGCCTACTTTATTAGATTTATATTTTTCACTAAAGAAGTTAGTCATTTCGTCGAAATGTCTTTTTAGGGAGAGTTAAAACGGCGAACGATTGAAAATATTGAAGTGTACATTGAAAAAAATCCAAAATTGCTGCTACTTCTGGATAAGTAAGTGATCATAAATAATTATTATTTGTCTAATGAAACTTTACTCTAAAATTTTTATCTTTAGACTTAAAACAGAAACTACCAACGTGTTCCTTTTGACAAATAGTGATTATCATTATTCTAACGCAAGTCCTGTCTAATAACTTTGCAATCACTCATAAAACGTCAAGTAGACTCCAGATACAATTTTTTAGGCTGTCATGTCATATCTCTGCGATCTACCTGACAAAGATGTAAGTTTCTATGTGGCTGTTGTTTGATGTTTATTTCTGCCATTTTTCTTAAGGTTCAATTTTCTTACTCAAGTTCAGGTTAAAAAATCTACTTCTTATTTTTTAAGCAAAAGTAAAATGGCTAAAGAAGGAAAGAGCAGATTTATTGAATGAAAGAATTTAAATCTAGACATCAGCAGACATTTTTATTTGATTTCCGTTAGCATCAGGTTGTTCAAGAAGACTACAGTTCAGTTCGTCATGTCCTGAAATCCTTAAATTTTGTTTTTCTTCAATTTTGGTGTGAGCCGTGTCCACAATAACCAGGGCTTATTAAATGATCGACCTTGTTTTCTTAAATCGGTTATTTCTAGTTTTGGCCCATCAAGTATTGTACTACAAGTAAACAGATTTCTGTTCTTCTATTAGCATATGAAAGACCGTCAGTGAAGAACCTATTGCGGTCAATATTGGTTAATCCGATTTTAAGTTCTAGCTAAGTGCATTTACTACCACAGTAAGGGATAGGTTTCTGAGTTACAAGCTTCCTTCCTTCCTTGGTTCAATTGTTGGCCAATAAATTGGGCAAGTACACACAGTCTCTAGAGCCCTTTAGGAAAGGCTGCTGAATTAGATTGCTAAAGATGACAGAACTTTGATGCATTCTCTAATAAATATCATTCGTGGATATATGCCATGCACTCCTTTGGTATATTTTATATAAATTCCTCTAAAATGGACAGAAACGTTTATAATTAATTGTCTATTTTTCCAGACATTATGACCACGAGGATACATTTAACATACTTAAATTCCTTGGTATTTATTTAGAATAAAAAACAGAATGTACTTATTTGGCCAGCTTATAGAACTTTGACTCTGATTTAGTTGGATATACAGGTATTACGAAATGGAAATGAACTATTATGACTGAACTCTTGCGGGTTTCGCATTGACATGAAAAGTGGCTGCTTATTATTCTGTTTTATGATTTACTTTTGCTGACAATTTTTGAAAATTTGTTTTCCACCAAAATGGGCTGGTTAATGACAAGCTATGTAAACTACTTATAAACTAATAGATTCTTCTACACATTCAGCATTTTAAAGGAATTGACTTCTTTCCAATTTTATCAATATTATTTCAGAAAAGAATTTTTAAATTCGGTGAGTAATTGGCATAACCAATCATACCAAGTTTGAGAACCAGCTGTCTGAACGATGGTTCTTGACGGCCTTTGATCAATTTGAGAAGACGTTTCTGTAATGACGCTTCCCCATCGTTACATTCGAATAACTATTTTTTGAGCCATTTAGTAAGTTGACCTATAGACCTCTATAGGGATCTACCCTGCGGTCACTGAGTGTTTTTTGGCTATTAGTGCTGATTATTAATAAAACAGTGTTTTTTACCAGTTTTCAATTGTCCAGCTTCCTCTCCATTAATCGTCTTAAGTATTTTTCTTTTCACAATTTATTACCAATTTGTTTTAATTATGATCTTGCCGAAGTTAATTATACTGATAGTGGGCTGTTTTTTTGTAGGGGACAATTCGACACTGGACTAGCTACTTCGATTACATTGTCGTGGATGCTAAGAAACCCGTCTTTTTTCAAGAGGGTACTCTAATGCGAGCCGTCGACATGGTACTTAATTTTAAACTTCTCATTTAACGAAAAATAGACTAAGTCTATTCTTCACAATTAATAAATTAAGTAAGGATTAGTTATTTGAGATCAAAGATATGTGGACGCAGGTTGGAAGGGAGTAAATGGAGTTTGGATGAAGATATGTTTAATTTTGTCCAGAGCTTTTAATACTATCGTAATATCCCAGCGAATTAATATCTGAATTCCAAAAGTTGATTTTCCTCTTATTTGAAATATGGCGTGTCTTGGCACTCCAATAGATTTTCTTTTATTCAAAAGGTCAAGAAAGCGAAACGATTATGCACGATGTTCTCCATATTATAGTTTTAAAATTAACAAAGCTGAGATAGGATAAACATTTAAAATCGACAGAACTCAGTAACCTACTTCAAAACAAGCAGTTATTTATTTGAAGAGAAGAAAATATGTTGCTTTGCTAGCACCGCATGATAGGAAGTGCAAATCTTAAAGATTTTGGCATTGCAATTCAGTGATTTCTCAGGTTCTCAAAAGAGGGAAATTTCACACTGTAATGCCCATCATTTAACTCCCAGTTTCATAGGGGATGCTCTGTCTACTATCTCCAGAGTCTGCTGTTCTAAAGATACTCCTGATCAAGAAGAGGGAGACAAATTAAGAAAAGCATTATTGGAAATTGGTGGGGAGAAGTATTGAAACCCTTTAGTTATGTGGTTTAATGTTCAACATGCACGTCTGCTTAAACAGTGGTCACAAGATTAATGTCGATCGGTTCTCAATCATTGGCGGGCGGTCCACCTCATCGAGTAATTCTGTCTATCAAGAGCTGTAGAAATGGAGTTACTCTTAGGAGTGACATAAAGATATCTTTCCTTTTCCAAAGTTATATATTGGAGACGCTTCTTCAAATGGGGTTGAAAACAAAAAAATCAGTTAGCGTTGAAGGTAGATAAAGAAAGTCTTCTATTTGTTCTCTTTGATTCTACTCAATGGTGCTAATCTCGTGAGTTCAACTGAGCGATTGACACAGATGAGTACAAATTTTTAATAGTCCGAAAAAATTCATTTCAATTATTCGCTAATAATCGTATTCTGATAAAGGCATTTCTATTTCATAAGAATAAAAGCAAAATATGTTTAAATTTCAAGCTTTAAAAGTAGAGCCATTGCATTGAAATGATGCTCGACAATATTTATATTTACATTGGAAGTAATATTGTGAACAATTGTTTTAACCTGCATAGAGCCATGGTGTAAATTGAAAATATATTACTAATAGCGGATGAAATTGATCATAATTTGCTACATAATACTACAACTTTCTTTATGTATTTGCTTGCAGAAAACCGGGCGTTATAAAATGGGCCAGATTGCTGGACCCCTCGAGAGCGGTAAAATTTATGCTGGAGGTACGTTTCGATAATATTTCCATTGAGTACACATTCACAGTTATTTACATTCATGCCTAATTAATAGGACGGATCTCTGTTTGATTAAAAGTCCTCGTCAGGGGCAATAAGTTTGAACCCGGCAGAGGAGGAATTTTTAGTATTGCTTTTATTGAGGAGAGGTGGAGGCGAAAGTTGAAAATTCTAGTCACAAAGCCGAAATTTATTCACAACTCGAATTTGTGGTCATTGCCTTTTTATCCTCTGTAATTTCAGACCACTGTTTGATGCAAGCATCCTGCTTCTTCTTTTGCTTTTTTTTAGTTAGTACGGCAGTTAGGAGGAGTGGCTCTTGATATATGGTTATAGGAGCAACACTTCTGTATTCCTATGTTTTTAGTTCCGTATTCTGGCGACTAGTTCGAGATCACCAAGCTGGAGAATGAGTTTAAAACATGAGATGATGAAACCATTTCCTTCACTATGGTCACAGATCTGTAGGACCTTAGAACTTAAGATAGGCGGGTTTTACGCCCAGATTTATACTTTGTTCTATACACAGTACACATCTTACCTTTTTTCTCTACCTTTGTGTCTGTCTGCCTCTTTTACATCTGTGAATCGCTCTTCTGCACCCCACCCCTCGACTTTCTTCTACTTTGATGAACCTTCCCTCTGTGAAGCCTGAAGTCAGCTAAATGGCTAATGATAGCTATCAAAACGCCTGCCATTTGAAATAAATAAATATCTGCTTGAAACTTTCTTCAAAGACATCAGAACGGAGAACCTGGAAATGCAACGACAAATAGGGACGTACCAAGATAGTTTCAACTATTATACCCATTTGCAAATTATTGGAAATTATTCAGAAAATTCATTGAAATTGATATCAGCTGATGCGATTGATCGTT